CGCTGACCACCGATGGCTGTCATCTTCGGGAGTGAAGCCAACAGTTGTGGCCAACAGTGAGGACCCGACGCCCGACCACAAGAAGTTGCAGAGCAAACGACGGGTGATATTGAGTGACATTACGCTGAAGATCAGACACGAGGACCACTTCCACAACAGTCGACTCAATTATCTGGAGGCCATCGATCACCGGCTGATCCAACACTGGATCGACACACTATGCGTCGACGTCGAGAGCGGATCCAAGGCCTACGACCGCCGGTGCCGTAAGATTAAGGCCATCGCCGAGATCTACAACAAGATACTGGAGAAGACATACCACGTGCCCACTCGACTCCGGGACTATCACGTCAGGGAACTGCTTGAGGTCGACGTCGACCGCGAGATCGCCGAACAGATCCGCTACTTATATGACTTGGAGTTCAAACGTTGGGCCGAAAAGCACAAGAGGAAGGAAAGTATGGCTCTCTCTCTCTCTCTCTCTCTCTCTCTCTCTCCGGAGAGTGTCTTCTGATGGATATATGGATTGATTCTCGTTTTTATTGTTTACTTTTTCAGTTGTGTTTCACAATAAGGTTAGACTCGACGAGAAAAACAGTGGCCACTCGTCCCGAATCGGTCTCTTCGACGCCAACAATGAGCTGATGTACGGCTTATGGCATAACACACTCTTCACACGCATAAAGCCGTCGGCGCGCCGGCAATACATCACCAGAACTCGTCTCCGGGCGGCCGCTCTGTTCGGCCAGAAACTGGTCATCGATTTTGGTTACGAAGAGTACTTGAATGGCATTGCGGCCAAACAGGTGATGACCTTTTTGGCCAAACTCTATGAATTCAATAAGTATTTTGAGATACAAATAACTGATCCAATTGTCGTGTCGTGAAGATGTTTGTGACCACATGTAAATGTCTTCCAGATATCATTTGACCGATAGCTATGATCTGACGTTTTGCAATCTGAACCCAAACGGCCCGATGTCTGTGGCGCTCAACAACTACTTCGTTGGCCACCCTCTGCACGAGTACTACATCCAGACCACTGCCGACTCGTATCTAAATCATTACGATTACGACAAACTCTGCTATATCTGTCCGCAGGCCGACGAACCGTTGACCAGCTATGACAACGACACCGTATATATACTGCCGGCCGTATGCCATCACCGACTGGATCCGCCGCTGTCTATGGTATTCATTGATTTTTGTTTTTATTCAAGCGATTATCTATTGATTGGATCTATTTGTTTGTCCACCGCTTAAGACTCGTGTGAAACTGGAAGGCATTCCTATGAAGCGGATCCCAGTGGAAGAGTACGGCTCGTTTCGGGACGGCTTTCACCTGGAAATGGCCGAACATCTGGAGATATTGTCTCACTTTCGGGACAACAACGACATGACTAAAGCGATGGCCTATTATTTGCCGCAAAGCGTGTGGAGAGACGAGCGGCAAGTGTTGACCGAAGACCAGGAAGCGATCAAAAGGATGTTTTACATGAAAAAGATTGGTTCGCAACGAAAGCTCAAGATTTATCGCTCCGTCGACGACAAGGTTTAGTGTTATTTATGATGTGTTTGTTATGGGAATCGCTGTTCCCGTGGAGAGGACAGGGGCTGATCGCCGCCCGCCCGCCGTACTCACTGTCCACTCGAATGTAATTATAAAGTGTTGTTTAAATAGTTATTTATATGTATTTTAGTTTATAATGAATGTTTTGATAATATCAACACATTTAACATGTATTTATTAAATAAACAAAAATAAATTTATAATAAGTTTTAATTAAATCACTGAATGAAGACAAAATTAATATTAAACTTTAGTCAAAGATATTTTTCATTGATTCGAATTGTATTAACCATAATATTAATTGGATTTAATTAAACAAAATAATGATATTCTTAGGAATCGTAACTTTCATATGATTTAAACAATAAATAAATGAGTCCTTAATATAGGGACTCAATTGAAGTTTGAAATACTTCTTCGAAACCCTGTATTCAATACAATGTAATACAAAAGCAATCAATTCCTCAATATTTTCATCGCATTTCAATGACAAGACGTTTAGTTCAGCGAAGAGTTTCATATTATTGAATTTCATTGACCACCAACTATCACAAATGTAATCAATACACAATCGCTTGAGTTGTGGCAATTGTGACACAAAATGCATACATTTATGGACACATTGTAGGCAATCGGGGCCGTCGTCGCGGGGCTCTCCATTGCACTCACAGGTAATCCAGATTTGAATCAAATGTAAATGTTTGACATTTGGGCACAATTGGGTCAATTTGCTAAACATTTGCGGAGAAAAGCCCTGATTACTGAAAATTAAACACTTTAATGAAGGCATTGCCGCTCGCAAGACATGAGTATTAAAATTAATGTTTAAAACTGACAAATGTGTCAATTCATCGAGTTTTGCGATGTTTTCGCTGAAGTTATTGTTATACAAACCGTCACTAAAACTAATGTCCAAACGTTTGAGTTTAAAGTGAGTGCACATCTCTGGGAACATCTGATCCCAGTCATCGGCATAGGATTCATACACACTAAGCGCTAGCAAATTACACATCTTCATTAGTACATTCATTGATAACACATTACAGCTACTCATATGTCTTAGTTTAAGACAACGAATACTTTGCGGCAAATATTCAAATATTGAGTCTATATAACGATTACGACCACTTAAGTCATTCAATTCAATCGATTCCAGTGATGATAATTGTGGCAATAGTTGTATAATATTGGCGTCAATCTTGTCTTTGAGAGTCAAATGTGATAATTGAGACAATAATGGTATCCATGAGTTCATTATGTAGTCGTTTACAAATAGGGAATCCAAATACAAACTCTTCAGTTTTGGACATCGAGTGGTGATCAATGATATTGTCTGTCCATTAAATATAGTATTTTTCAGATACAAAGACTTTGTCTTAAAACACTTCCCGAGTATTGAATTCAATGTGTCTTTGCTTTCAATCAAATAATATTTATCGGAAGGATTGCAGACAATGGCTTCACTTATGTCTCCCACTTTGAATGAATGGTAATCGCGATTACATTCACTATTAATGGATCCAATTTTCAGCGCATTCTTCCTCTGGAGAGCAGTTCCAACGCAATCCATGAATTGATTGCAAACTGACTCTAATCTCAACAATTGTTTGACATTTAATTCGTTGAAAATCAAAACCAAGATATCGTCGCACAAGACATGACTTCGAAGTGAATCCATGTCTTCAATGGACACAAATAATCAACAAATGATTGAGACTTTAATGCAAATTAATTAAAACACGTGTTTATAACACAAATCAGTGAATGATTTGATAGTAAACCCGGAAATAGAAGTCTATTAATAAGTCATTAACGACTTTCGCCGCATATAGTTGCAGTGCAATTATATCTAGATCTCTAAGTCGGGGTGCAATTATATCCGGATAGAGT